TACGTGGTAACTTGAGATGCCACCATTCGCCTATTTTGCCCTTGCAAGTCAGCTGAATCAACTGTACCAGTCCAGCTATAAACCCAAACGATGCGATCGTTTGTATAGTCTACGCCAATACTCCGTGGCCAGAACTGAGATGAACCGGTGAGATCGACCAAGACAGTTCGCTCGAAGCCAGCCAGGTTTGCTCGTTCAATCTTGGCAGTTTGCCCCGCGTCTGTCCAAAACATCCATCTGAAAGAAAGAAAGAAACGGGGTTTCCCTTTCATCGTTCGTTCTTTTTGCTGGTGCTTCGCCTTCCCAGCAAAATTCAAATTAAGGAACACCCCATCGCAGGTTACAAATAAGGGCTACAAGGATGGCGCTGTAAATAAAAAGGATTGCTGTTCTTAATTTCTAATACTAGTACTGTTATAAGTTTAAATAATTCACTGAGAACGTTTCCAGAGATAGCGATGCAAGTATAGTTCCCATGACGGCAAGAGAAAACAATTTCCCATTATTTTCTCTAGAAAACAGTTAATTCATTTCATTCTCAAGCCCCTCTTTAGAAAACCATGTCAATGCAAAAAGATGCTTTGTCATATTCACATTCTTTGAAAGACGCAAACTAAGTCGGCTCAATGCGACCATTTTACACTTTTTACCCACCCCTTCTTTGGGTGCACCGCTATTCCAAGCGGATAGCTCGAGGAATCGGTGAGGAGCACCTTCCTTTTGGTGCCGTCTAACGAGGCAACTTCAATCCTGCGGTAGGACGTATCTGTCCAGTATAGTAGGCGACTTTCCCATTCTACGGTAAGGTCGCCTACATATCCATGGTCTTCTGTAATAATGTCCTTCGTGACACCACTGGACATGTTCGTACGTTTGATGGCACGATGGCTGACGTCGCTCCAGTATAATGTTCTTTCGCTTACATGGACATCGAGATTGACGGGGAATGTAAGATTGGACAACAAGTTAACCACTCTGGAAGAAGCTAACTCAATGGCGTCAATTCTGTTCCTAACAGTGTATATGAGACACGGCTCAGTACAATTTTCCAAACCTGCACGTCGATAAAAGCATAAAATAAATATTACTTGTGAAAAAAAGGACTAAAGAAGAGATGTCTGTTACTGTGGAAATATATCTTGAACATTTGCGACAAAAATCTACTTGAACATGACAGACATAGCCTCCTAAATACTTAAAGGTTAAAATTCGATTTCGCTCTCGTTAAGGTCACTTCGTTTTCTCTTTCATTAGGATCACTTTGTTTTCTCTTTCATTAAGATCAGTTCAGTTTCTGTTTTGTGAGAATTGTTTCGTATAAGCTTTCGTAAGAATAAAATTTAGTCTTGTGAACAACTTTAACCCTTTCGTTCAATCTTGGAGTCTTGAAATCTTGATAAACTGTTACAACAGAGTAAGTGAACATGTCATTGAAAAAGAAGGCAATGAAGATAAAGGCGGTGCTAAATCAAATGTGATTTTTGTTTGTAAAGTTTTGAGAAAAAAAACTTGATATTTTGACTGAATCGTAATAAGAAAGGGGGCAACTGATCTCGTTTTCGAATCACAGGCGTATAAAGCCTAAAATAAGGATTTTTCTCTAAAGCACAACAAGTATGTAAGCCTGATTGGGCATTTTTGGACACCATTCCTGAGGAGAGAATCGAGAAAGTGTAGAGGATACAATTCATAATGAATTAATGTGAGCCACCTTGGATAAGCCTTTCTGAAAAGCGACAGAGAATATATAATTTCTGGATCAAAGTCAATATCTGAGCAACTGCGCACCACCCACCCCTCCCCTATTCACACTCACCTTGACAGATAGACAGCAGGGCAAAAATCACTACTGTTCGTAAACCACGCTCAGCCATCATGTCAGAATACATTCTTCAGGCACAACTACCTGAAGTCGCAGCTTATTGGTTCTAAAATACATTAATGATAAATTTTAGGAGACGATTTTGAAATACCTCAGAAACAAGGCTACACTTAAACAATAATGTGTTAATTAGCGATGTCAAGATTTCCGTAATGGCGTGCCTGTACAAACATGCACATCGGACATTTTTTTGCATTAAAAATATTTAGATAGAGTTACATCTTTCCTTTCAATAATTCATTTGCTCTCATTTTAAAATGACAAAAACGGCACTATCATGACAAAATCAATTCTTCTTCATTATAATGACAAAGTTCCTCTTCGTACACAGATTCAAGGCTTTCAAACAAGGTATGATGCTCAGGGGAACAAATAACGCCAAACTCTAACCGGAAGACATTAGTGCGAAAATTTTGATTAGGATTACCAAAAAAATTTAATAAGTTTCAACATCAGCCGATAAAAAATTTGTTGGTCTACTGCTCTGTTTCTTACACTCAGTCTTAGCCTGTCTTTTACTCGAACTCGGAAAGGTAATGACATGCTCCTCATTGATTACCCGCGATGAATACAAACTTGCCAAAATGTCGCAACCGGTGCAAATAGTTCATGGCTTTCGCCAATTTTCTGCTATTTTTTTAACAATGGGATCGCACCGTACGTCTTGAAAGTAACCAAAATAAATAATTTGCAGTTCACTGCAAAGCATCCTGACCTTTCGCTCGGTCAATGACGCATATTTATTTTGTTGTGATACATATCCGCAGCAAAAGATTATCCAACAGAAATGTTAACATCGGAAACGCAGATTAACATAATCACCTTGCCTGTCCTTGAGTGCACGAAAACTATCACTGTTCGGTTAATTTAATGACAAACTTATATTACGACATATCGACACCGGGTAACTCCTGATGAAAGTCAAGTACGAAAAATGAAATCATACTTATTTCAATTGTCATTGTTAATTTTCCGAGTGGAAACTTATTTAAAGTGAGTGTTGAATAAAGAAAACAAAACTGATTGGTTGATTTAACAAAAACACTTAAAAACATCTTGAATTCTGAGAATTACGAGGTCAAAAATAACGGACGCAATTTCAGAGCCCTGATCTTTGAAAACCATCTGTACTGCAATTCATTATTCGCGACAGTGCATAGCATATAAAATTCATTTTATCATCAATAAAAAAATAAATCTATACTAATATAATTTGCTAACGAACAAGTTACTAATTGACTATCCAAAGGCCGGCTTGGTCAGCAGTAAGTTCATTCCAAGGTCATAGAGATACTGAAGTGATAAACACGACCTAGTTTTGTCTCGGCACGTTCTCTAGAGCATGACAGTTATAACTGGCGTTTAGAATAAGATGAAATCCCAGAAATGTCTGCCATATCGTAATGTTGGGCAAGCAGAGTCGGAAGGTAGAGGAAGCTTTGCCAATAGGTACAAATTCAGTTAAAAAAAAGAAATTTTTTTGAGAATAGATTTTCGAATAACTACAGCGCCGATGGAAATGTATACTGACTTACTCTGACGACCTCCTTGCAATTATAAGAAGTCAACTAAAAAACGCATGCCTGTGCATAATCCCACAGAGTAGTATCTCATTCTATTCAAAAGTAAAGTGTTTTAGCCACCGGCGTGCTAATGAAATTGCTTTTTGAAAAAGCTTGCAACCTTGATCATTATTTTGATAGATCAAATTAGGAAAAAAATATCAAAAACAGTTTTCTTACATCTATCCACCCGGCTAAATTTCACCCATCACACCTCATAACCTTGTAGCAAGTGACACAAAACAACGACAATAAAATGTCTTACCTTTCGTACTTTTTGTAGAACTGATCACTAGACACCTTTCGCAGAAAGCTGATGTATATAAGAACGCAGCAAACAAGACTCTGCCGGTCTAACTAACAGGAAAA